GTGAATATTCGCATCGCTATAACTATGAACGGTTAAGCCGGCAATCTTTTCTAAGCATGAATATTTTCAGGCACGCCAGTGGCTTTCAGGCCGGGTCACCACCGCCAACATGTCGGACACAATTCGCATATCTCGTATAGTATGCGACTTTTTGATCCTGGCTTGTTGCGGTACGCTTTTTTCTTGATAGTTATTCTTGTGGAAATTTCGCTTTTTTTCTATGGCTAGATTTCCTCCTAAACCCTTTTGAATGCAAGCCCTTTGCGGATGGGTAGAGCCAGATAACCAGCTATACCGAGAAATGCGAAATGTAGGCATGAGTATGCGGCACCTGCCGTTAAAATATGTCTAACGATTTGCAACCAACTATATATACACAAATTTATCCTAGCAAACCGCACCCCGACATACCTAGCCTAGTCCGAACTAACCAATATTCTTTAACTAACCTACTCGGAGCCTCTTCGTACTGAATTTGTGCATTGTTATGTCCTTACTGTGCAAAAGCCTATTCCGTTCAAAAATGAGATCTAGTATTGTTTGGGCTTGAAGTAACATGCCATTTCCAGCTTCTCCGATTAATGACCGGTTACATTTCAGCGATCCCATTGCTGATTTTTCACGTATGGGTGAAACCGTACAAACGAGGTTTCTATTGTGACGATGAGACCATTCGGTATCCTTACCGAGACTCGACCGTTTCTAGACAAATGTTGATCGTCATTGGCTTGCTTATACCAACAATTTTGGTGAGTCAACTTTACCTTTACATTTTGGAGACCTAAACTTTAAAATATTACACCTTTTTTTGTAGATTCAAGCACCCATGTGCTGTAGACCCTTTTATTTCTAAATATACACAAATATAGCTATTGTGGCTCTTAATACTTGTCGTTCGTTCTGCTATTCAAGAGCAGCCGATTGAAAAACATATCACAGGCTCAGAACATACGGTCGGCCTGTAATGCACAGTAGAAATTGCTATTGAGCATCAGGATTCGAAAGTATCACAATCTTTACTTCTCTGAACCCGTTACTGTGGAAAAGAACTGTTTGAACTCAAAGACTATTGTACTCGTACGTTACCCGCTTTTACGTAACTTCTCGAGTCTGATTTGGGGTTCTTTTCCACCATTTGCTCTTTCTGAGGTTTTGGCAGTATACCGCAGAATCAGACAAGTTCGATGTTGCTTTTCGGAGACTCTTGAGATATAGATCCGATTTAAACTGTTTCGTTTGTACAAGCTACCCTTTTCAGATAATCGCCACTGAAATTTTCCGAACGATGGCTTGGGAGAGGAAATGCGAGTCACAGTTTAAAACCTACCATTTGAAACAATATTCTGTTCATCGCCTCGTTGTTCGTCTGTATTGCTTCATCGGTGTGTTTTATAATTATTCTAGAGAATTCCTTCTGCTCTATCAGAATTTAACTATCTAGGGTACTTTTTCCTTGGCGTTTGCTTCAATCAGCTGATGGTTGACATCGCAAAATACACTATTGGACGTCAGAGACCTCATTTTATGGACGTCTGTCGTCCAAATATAGGTTACGCTGAGGTAAGCGCTCTCAAGAAGTTTTCTAGCCAAATTTGACATCATGGTCTAAACTATAATAGTATCTTTAGTGCAAAAATCCTGACTTGTACATAACGAACTTCACATGCACAGGAGGCAATGAGAAACTTATTCTTGAGTCACAGCTCTCCTTTTACTCTGGTCACTCGGCCTTCAGTTTCTATGGAGCATGGTTCACATCTGTAAGTGAAGTAGTTCTCCATCCCTTATTTATTTGCTCATTTCTTTATTTGTTGTTACCGTTTTTCACGATGAGGACTTAGTGGGGTAGCATGTTCACAATGGGATAGACATAATTTTACATGAGAAAAAGTATATATTTCACTTTAGCCTTTCGTAACACTTCCTTCTGGGGCCGTTTCTTATCCTTCCTCCAGAACCCCCGCCGCTGATGTTATCCTGTGGGGATGCAGGGTTGCGTCATAGGGCCAGTTATATTCCGCGTTTCCTGACTCCAGGCAACCCTGTCTCCCCCAAGCTTTGTATAGGATCAGCAGCTGGGGCTTCCCTCTGGGTGGTGGATACATGCGACCAATGGACTATGGAGCTATGAAAATACTATTTTTATCGGGAGCATACTTTAGAAGCTTTGGTAGCAGGCTCTGGATTTGATTTCTAAAAAGAAGTGAACCGCAAAATGCGACCAATTTCAACTACATGTTCACGAGTTCAAGTGAAAGTTACTTCAAATAAGGACTTCTTATTTTCTTTTCTCATTTAGCTCTATCTGCAAGCTCGCCTCTACCGCCCACTGTTCTCTCGTCTACTACTGCCCGTGATCCAGTTTTCGTTGTTTGGAGGAGCATCTTACGTCGCTCTCACTCGAGTAAGTTGTGTAATATTCTCCTTGATATCACAAAAAGACTAGTTTTCTTCCCATCCAGGTTTCGGATTACAAGCACCATTGGTCGGACGTTCTTGTTGGTGCACTTATTGGAAGTGCAATAGGCATTTTCACGGTGAGTTTGCTCGAAATTTGATTAGGTTAATTGGTTACGAAGACGATTAAAAAAGAGTACGACTGTTTCAGGCTCTTTATGTGGCTGAAGTCTTCAAGCGACGTGAAATTCCGGCTTGTGTATTGGGATCGGATGAGTTTGGTTTGATAAGGTAACAAGATTTTACAGTGTACGGCCTTTAACCATGAAAACTCAATCATGTGATGGTTCCGTAATTGGCTTATTTACCAATGAATGTTCTGTATAACCACAATGCGTCATTTTTAAATGTTATGATTCTGCGTCTTAAGGATGGAAAAGCGCTCAGACGTAGTCCCTCCAGCGGTAACGACGGCCACACATTCCATCACTGTGACTAATGAGCAAGATCCATCATCGAATCAGCGACTGTGAGTTTTTGATTTCACCAACTCATTGTTATCGCATATGTATCAACGCCTTATTAACCTCCATGGGATTACCTGTTTTGTGTTGTCCAGTTCTTGGTGGCGGTGTTTATATATGTATCAGCCCTCAGAACTGCATCTTACATTAGTTCTGTAATATTTTAGTTTTCTATCGTGGTAGGTTTTTTGCATAACAAAATGTTTGAAACCGGCTTCATTCATCGCATGATCTCCAGCATATCTAATCCGTAAGCAATGATACGTATATTTTTGGGTTTAGCATTTTACGAATCAAGTAGTGATCCTTTGTGCCATTGGCTTTGATTGCTTCTTTAGTTTTGGAATTTACAACTGAGTAGAGACAGAGCGCAAAAGCGAGACTAGTATCAAGCTGAATCATTTTTTAACGACTAATGCTAGAGTGCGCATCCAGCATCCACGGCGATATCTAATGCTTAACTGATGGAGCATGCAAGCTGACTCAACAAGATCCTGCTCTGGTCTAGACGAGTATGTCTTAGTATATGGTTCTGCTGTAAAAAGTTCTTTCTTATTTTTCTTATGCTCGCACTTGATATTATAGTATTCACAATATTCGAAGTTTTGGAATTAGAGAATTTTTTGAAGGCTCTAGGTTGCTGCTTTGCCTGTTTTGTCAGGAAGCTCATTTAGAACTTTTTTTGGGGTAGAAGTGGCGAGTTGTGGTAGGGCTAATGAAGGCAGCGCCTCAACCACCTGAATGGATGGTGGGAACTTGGTTGAAGTCTGCTCTTTTGTATGTTCAGCTATATTGCTTTTGTTGGCGAGTATAAGTGAATATATATTATATTCTTGCTTAAGTGATGGAAATGGTTTATAGGATTGCTTATATGTTCTTCTCATACACTTTTAGGTTTTGTAACCTTGAATTCATTTGGTAGTGTTCTGCAGAATGTGTTTGAACACCATTCCACTCTCCGGTAGTTATGCAAGTGTTTATCTGCCTCTAGCGGAGAAGAAATTATTTCTGAACATTTGGAAATTCGTGGCAAATTTATTACCTTCACTTCTACGAAGGGCCGCTTGCTTTTTTGACTCCTTAAAATGCTAGAATCCAGTTAGGATCCTAAAAGATCATCTCCGTTTACATGCTGTATTTTACTTATGCGTCCTTATTTCTGCCTGCAGTCGCTCACATTTGAATTCGTTTGGATTTTTTATAGTTAGGAGAAACGGTTACCCGTGAGGTATTCGTACATTTCAAAGGGGTTTTGTACTTTGTTTTCTTCTACCTATCCCATTCGGTCATGATGATAACGAGCTTTGAATTCTTCGGCTACAGCGTTAATTCTCTAGCCCTCATTGACACGGGATGGCTTTAATGAGCTAGGTCATGCATTGTTTCCTTTACTTTTAGGTGTGGAGCTGAAACAATCTCACCCTTCTCAATTTTTCGTGTATATCAATTTATTTCTTTATTTACTTCAATGACTTTTGAAATGTTGTTTAGTTAGGGCTCCAAATTTGAATTCGAATTCAACTGGTCACGATCAACTATATCGGATATACCGTGCAACACCAGTAACTGCAGTGCTGTGATTTCAGTACGAAAGGTGATTATAATATCGTAGGGCTTCAGGAATCAAAGGAATCTTTTCTTTTCGCTTTCTCCAATCGTGCGGTTTGCGACGCTCGCAGCGCTTTTCATTTTGTGCACGGCTTTGTTTTTTCTTTCTTTTTGAATTCAGCCGCTTGCTTTTTGGGCAGCCTGTGTGTTTTGGCCCTTTTTTAATGTTGTGATGAGGGGACTAGCGAGTAATTGGGGGGGGGGGGGGCTTCTAGGCTTTGAACTTTGGTCCAACATCTGTAGCAACGTCGTGGAGTTACACTTTTACTGGTTACTTTAATATCTGAAGATCGAAAAAATCAGCATAGAGCTCGAGAACTAGGTAGCTGAATTTAGGTTTCAGGATGAGACGACTTCATTTCATGAAAACTTTGTCTTTTTCTGGAATCCCCATAATCTTAGTATTTACTGCGGTGGAAAATTTTTCCTAAAACGGTATGTACAAGGCACGTCTAACTTTCCGTATGCCTTTTTCGTTTTCCCTTCGACGCAAGGCCATCTTGAACGCCGGACCGATTTCTAAATTTTTACAATCCATCCCCCACTTGTGACTGTGATAGTAACTGTGAAAGTTAAAAAAAATAAATTTTCAAAAGTATCCTAGAAACTTCTTCTACTTCTCGAGAAGATTCTCACTTCTATGTTTTCCAGGAAAATCAGTTTCTCCAACACACCCCCATCCCGATCTCTAACACAATCCCCTTCTGAGCATCGCAAAATAGGCCTCTTACGGCTGACTTTACCAGATGGGAGTTCAACTCACTATTTATTGGAGCTCTTGTTTTCCAATTATTTTTTCAGTGCTATAATTTCCCGTAAGCGTATTAGGCTAATTATAACAAGATACCCCTATTAGTGGTGCCTGTAAGTGAATCTTATTTTTCCTCAATTTCCTTTTTTATTGTTTTGCAAATGAGTGATTGTTGTGCTGTGGTGTGTGGCTGTTAACCAGTTGCATTCAGCGACAGTACATCGTCGGCATCACGATCCAGATGATCCGATGTGATCAGCACCAAGACTTTCTACCCGGTCGTCGTCAAACTTTTTATCCCGAAGTGATGTCCACACCTATCTGTCTATTGCACTCAACCTCACCTGCTTAGTCGCACATCATCCTTGGAATGTACAGATGCTAACTGCTCAGATGTCAATTCTTTCCTTAACAAAAAAAGCTGTTTCTGAATGTGCTTCTCGTTTGAAGTGCTTGAAGCTTTACGATCGATCGCTACAGGTCTGTGTCGATCCTTTATGTGTTCTAAATTTTGTTGCCTTTACGCGTTGGCTTTTCATGTGTGTAATGTAGTTCATCGGCATTCTGATAGAAGGGCGAATTATTGTGGGATTGACTACGCGGCTGCAATTGCCTGCTATCACTTGAAATGAGTTGTGTGTAGGCTATTGTGGTCTTGTAGATTATATTCAACATCTCTGTATAAGAAGGTTAGCTCGAGAACTGATTTGACAAAGCAAATCTAAGTTTACCGAATTAAAAACCAATCCCCACTCCAAAGCCAGTAGCGCTGTGATCGTGAGTTCGGCGACTACCGGCACTATCAGTAAAAATGTGGATGAACTACAGAGTACTAGCCGCTTTTCTGCCGTGTATACTCTTTTCCGTTACGATTTCAGTTTGGCATATTGCAATTCTAGCGAGGCAAAATGCGCGAACGGGGAATATTTGTCGGAAATTCGTCTCGATCCCATGTTGGTTGTGAAAATGTGAGCTCTGCTCAGCATAATAAAGTCGTCCCGGTGACCATCCTAAATTCTCGTAATTATTGTCATAGTCGTGAAATATGTATACGTGGTGTTTCGGTGATAGTTACCAAATTGTAGGGCTTTATTCTTTCATTATAATAATATTAATATTAACCCAAGGTGATATAATATGATGTGCAGTTGCGAATTGTGTTGTATTTACGAGCAAATAATTTTCTGTACCCAGTGCTAAATGTTCTTGAGTCTTCGCTGTCTTCGTACCGGTTGATTCTTTTTCAATATTCACTTATTGACTTAACTAAATGTTTCCTTAAATGAGTGTTTGATATATGCGGCTGCACAAAAATCAAGGTCCAAGGGTATTCTTTCAGTTTTTTGGATTTGGAGATGGAGATTTTGAATGTGAACGACTAAACTTCCATGGAAGGCTGAGGGTGGTATCAGATGAATATGAATTTCCAGCACGATTAAGTGGTAAATATACCGCTATTACCTCTGCGAGGATTGCTCGTCCCGCAGCGAATCCTGTCTGAACGAGCAGGGGCATTGATCTCATCAAACTATGGAAGAAGAACTATGAAAGAATGCAGTTACCGAACATGTAGGGGTCTGTCTAGCATCTCCTCGGATAAGGACCCCTTCATGATTGAGGCGGTTTTTTCCAACTATAGAGCTTATGTAATTTAACGTAAAGGCACATTACTCGATCGCCGAGGTTTGGGTTATTGTATGGCAGTTGTGAGAGAAGGGAACTGCCAAGTGCTTCCATAACAGTTTCCACGGCGCTGATGGGCGCGCCCGATGTGCCCCTGGTGGCGCGGCCGTACACCATTTTTGGGCGCATAAGGAAGGCCAAGAGAGGCGTCCTCGGCTGACTGGTCTCGTTACCATCAGGTCACTCAATGTCAGCTTGACATAGTGTTTCAAATGCCGATCGTAGGTTTTTTTTTTGTTATTTCATAACTTCGTTACTGATTGAAATTGCTCTAACCAGGAAGGTCTTTCAGGGCGTGACAAGCTTTTTGAAAACGGTCTTTTGCATGATATAGGGGCAGATGCGGGAACCACAGAACCATGTTCAATTTTTCCTGAACGGCCCTCTGAATACCAGAAAAGGGGTCCCTAGTTCGATTCCTCGTGGTGACAAATTTTTGCATTTCGAGTTGACGTTCCAAAATTCGCGCAAAATGGAGTTAGCATGAATAATTAGTACCATATTCATGATTAGGACCGTCAGTAACCCTACAAAAAAGACTTTGACTTAAAAATTGGTGTAAGAGGTGTGACACCAAGCAGCCCCACTGTGGTGTCACACCTTTTTCACCAGTTTTTTAATCAAAGTCTTTTTGTAAGGGTTACTGACGGTCCTAATCATGAATATGGTACTAATTATTCATGCTAACTCCATTTTGCGCGAATTTTGGAACGTCAACTCGAAATGCAAAAATTTGTCACCACGAGGAATCGAACTAGGGACCCCCTTTTCTGGTATTCAGAGGGCCGTTCAGGAAAAATTGAACATGGTTCTGTGGTTCCCGCATCTGCCCCTATATCATGCAAAAGACCGTTTTCAAAAAGCTTGTCACGCCCTGAAAGACCTTCCTGGTAAGTTCACTTTCGGGTGAACGGCTCACATCTAGGCAACCGTGGAATGTGTCTTTTTCACGCGACTTGTAATTCAAGGCTCCTTATACTTAGCATCTTGGGAATACATAAAGCTCAGTTATTCACCTCTATCAGTTCCATTTCTTCATAATGTGATCGTAGATGTTTTTCTCAAGCTTTTTTTTTTTCGTAGACGTAGGTTGCACAGGTGGTACTTCCTTTTAAATTGAACACCTGCCAACTCTGCACTTCCCTCAAAGCTGGTCGCGCGGAAGGTGCGAATCGCGCGGCCCATGCGTCTATCTCGAAGTCTAAATAGGTGTCAGACTTCGCGTTTGCAGTCTGCCTAATATCTTCTAGCTAAAGGATGGTGATAGCGCCTAAAGCATTCCTGTCATGCCTATTTTCGAAAAAATGCTGAGCTTGGTTGACGGCTCGACATCACCATTTCAATATCCATTCGGTCGCCTATCGAATTTTTATGTTTCAGTAGCTTGGTTTCCAGTTCAGATAAATAAGGAAACCTTGGACCTGGGATTTTGTGCACCCCGTTCAAGCATGATTTTCTGATTGTTGTGATGTCATGACTTACTCTCCAGTACCTGTAAATGTTGTTATGTCCAAGCATACACAAGTCACATACGCCTTAAGTTTGTTGTTGTTTCCGTTTCAGTTTGGAGTATAACGGCGGCCTTGATGACGGTGGCCATCGCTACATCGATCACTATTGATCTGTCAATTAGAAAATCAGACGGCCTTTATTATAATTATTTTTCCTCGACCACCACCCGCATATACGTTGTTTGTTTGAGTTTTGTGGCTAGTCCTATTGTGTTAGCGCTTGTGATGGTGAAAATCATGTATTCCATATAGCAATATTTTATAAAGATGGAAATGTTGTGCAATTGGTGGTAGTAGTTGTGAGCATGAAATTAGCCTGCTATCTTTTAATATCATGACCATTTCATATTTACACAAATATTTCCTTCCCAAGCCGCCTATCTAGGACGTTTCCTATAGATAGAGTTCAGACTGTAATTTTCATGGTTTCATACAATAGTGCATGCAAGAAGCGTGCGGTCGCGTCGCGATCTTTACTCATCAATCAATTCGTTGTCACGTTCTCATGCATTTTCTTGGAATATTTCAAATAATGTGTTTTATTTGTTCCATCATTAGTTAAGTGAAGGAATAAAACTTCAGAACAGTATGCTGGGCTTACTCGTGGGCGGTTCCTAAATGCGTATGGCTAGTTCAGAGTCCGCGATCCGTCGCTCGAATCGCGCGATTCGCGCGACGGGTCACAGAAATCACAAGTGCCCCGATCAATACTGCGAGGTGCTCTCCAATCCCGCCGCCATTTCTGCTTGATGGTGATGGTGAATGACGACTGTTCATGATTCTACTTGTTTCATATTCAGTGTTTCAAATGTTCAAATGGGGCACTTGCGATTTTTGCGATTCGCGCGATTCGCGCGACGGATCGCCGACTCTGACACCGGCCTGTGCGTCTTCCGCGCAGTGCCGTCAATGCGAGCAGTCTGTGGT